TGTATTTTATTTATACTTGTGGTACTGATCCCTAAAACCAATATATTATAAAAAACGAGTACGGGTCATGGCCGTATAAATAAAGATCTTTATTTATACGTCCATGGTACGGGTACTGTACTCATAGTAAGTGTAAGTGAGCATACCTGACCTGATCCACAAAAATACTTGGATCAACCACCTCTACATGCGTGACGTCTGCTTTGTTTACTTTTGCATTTTTTAACCTTACTTTGCAATGTACTGGAATTTAAATGTAAATGTGTTTTTGTTTTGTTTCGATTTTTTAAAAATTATTTTAGCAAGAGTCTGTTCAGATCATTTTAAATATGAATTAATTGGATTAATGTATAATATTAATTTTATTTTATTTATTTAACTACGATATTTCGTATCAATTTTGTACATATTTGAATTGCCGCCTTCAAAATGGCGGATTTTGGTCGTAAACGTGATTGGCTGTTCAAAATAGATGCGCGTGAGCATACCATGTTTCCTTATATCATGGTAGGTACTGATGTGTCAACCTTCTGTTGCCATGATGTATGTTCTTTCCTTGTTTTCTCGAGGTAGGCAACACATTCTACAGCAATATGGAGTTACACTTGCTTTGTTTAATTGAGTTTATTTTTTTTTCCTTTCATCCCATATAATAGATTCTGATATGTTTATATTTTCAGAAGTATTACTAGCTACCTCATATTTCAGACTATGGTCAACCTTTTAATTGCCTTATAGTCCTGCAAGGGACTCCAGATTAATGTTAACTTCGTTCCTATTTACAGTCGCCACTAAATGATTGTAGAATTTATTATGTGCATATCATTATAAGTCTACAAATGCAGCATTTGTAGACTACGAAAAAGCTTTCGATACCATAGAACACACGGCCGTAATAAACGCAATGCAAAATTGTAGAATAGACAGCAGATATATTAACTTAATAAAAGAAACTATGAGCCAAGCTACAGCTACATACTTACTACCTAAATGAAAATGAACACACGAACCCTGTACCATTAAACAGAGGAGTCAAACAGGGAGATACTTTTATCACCCAAACTGTTCACCTTAGTTTTGGAGGACGTTTTTAAAAACCTAAATTGGAAATATAAATGACATCAATGGCCGCTACCTCAGTAATCTACGATTTGCAGATGACATAATCCTGATAGCTACTGACCTACAAGAAATACAAACCATGCTTTTAGAACTACATACCGAATCTTCTAAAATAGGACTGAAAATGAATTTAAACAAAACAAAAAGTCATGCACTCCGAAGACACCGTGACAATAATAAACGATAAAGTTATAGAAAAAGTTGAAGAATATATATACTTAAGACAAAAAATAATCCTAAATAGGGAAATTCAAACTGAAGAAATAAAAAAAAGAAGAAAGTTAGCTTGGGCAGCATTCGGTAAACTGAACTATATACTCAGAAATCAACAAATTCAATTACATCTTAGATCTAAAGTTTTTGATGCATGCATTGTTCCGATATTAACTTATGCGGCACAAACATGGACAATCACAAAAAAGAATATGAATATACTTAGAGTCACTCAACACGCGATGGAAAGAGCAATGCTAGATATATCACTTAAGGACAAGAAAACAAACACATGGATAAGACAGAAAACCAAAGTCACCGATGTGGTGCAAAAATCATTAAAGTTAAAATGGGAATACGCTGGACGTGTAGCTAGGAGCGATCTAAACAAATGGCACCGATCAATTTTAACCTGGAGACCATACCAAAACAAAAGACCCAGAGGCAGACCTCCTATGAGATGGACAGATGATCTGAAAAGGACTGCCGGGAAAAATTGGCTACAAGTAGCATACAATAAATACCAATGGAAAGAAAGACTTGAAGAGGCTTATGTTCAGATGTGGACGTGAATGGCTAGACGAAGAAGATGTCATTGTAAAGTCGTTTCTATTTTATTGGATGACTAACAAAAGGGGGTAGCAGGTATAACCATAAATATAAATAGTCCAGTCACTTGATAGCGGCGTTTGATTTTTGTCTTGTAGTTAAATATCTGGTAAAGTTTGTTTAGCAGTAAATGGTTGACTTCAATTAGTACCGACTATAAACATACTGGGTTAACCGATAATAGTATAAAAGGGCCGGTTTCAGGTAATAATGGTTTACCTGAGATAAAAGGTCTTGACAATAGGCCAAGTCAGATAAATTTAATAATATTTACAGCCGTACTAATTGAAGTCAACCATTTTCTGCTAAACAAACTTTACACAGTTGATTGAGGCACTTTAGTTAAAAATATTGGGTCTTTTGTAGCTTCTGCATATAGATAATTTCGAAGTCCATTATACACATTTGTAACTATATATTTTGCCTCTGGTGGTACCTAACATTAAACATTATTTTACTTGTACTGGTCTGATTTTGATCAGCATATTCTTCTTGCTCAGGAATTTTTTCTTTTTGCTCAGAAATTTCTTCATTATATGTACTATCCAAGGACACAATACTTTTACCCTTTAGCGATTTACAATTTTGGACATAGGTACACCAAACACCAAGAATCATAAAAGTATTACAGAGACAAAGTTCCAACATTTCCATTTAAACAGTACATATATATACTGTAGTACAATAGAATAGAATTTATTTGGTCAATATACAAAAACAGATTTGTTTTTGACAAATCAAAGGAATCATGATAATTATTACATACATACATTATAAAATTTATATAAAATAAAACCAAAAACAAATGGTTTGAAGATCAATGCAGAGAAATAGAATCATTGGAAAGTAGACACGACTTGTTTAATCTTCACAAGAAGGTAAAAGAGCCAGCAGGAATGTACAAACCCAAGAGAACAGGATATATGACTGATGATCATGGCTACCCGGTATAAGATATTGAACAAACAAAGAATATGTGGAAAAGATACGTTGAGAAGACATTCGATGACGACAGAGATAACAACCAGATAATTCTGGAATACGACACAGGAATACCAATCACTCAAGACGAGGTCAAAGCCGCAATCAAAACAACCAAAGAAGGTAAAACACCAGGGCCTGACAACTTTCATTCAGAATTTCTAAAAATCATGGGAGACGAAGGAGTAAAATGGCTTACGATAACGTTCAATAAAATCTACGACTCCCAGAGAGCTGGTTAAAATCTACATTTATTGCTATACCTAAAAAACATAATGCAAAGAACATCATATTATCAGTCTAATGAGCCACATTCTTAAGACCGATACTGAGGATTTCCTGGGTGGACCGAATAACAAACATTGAGGTTTCAAGTTGAGCCATAATCTGTGGAGGACTATTTGTATATGTAACGGTTAAGAATAAGTAAATAATATTTTCGTCTGTGACACTGTTTTTTTAAATAATTTTATGTTCACGGAATGATTATTATTTTCTAAAAATAAAGATATTGTTATGTTATACATCGGATGGATAAAACATGTGAAATTATATCCACAGTGAAACAGCGAAAGCTAGAATATCTTGGACATATAATGCGAAACGACCATAGATATAACCTGCTTCAACTTATATTACAGGGAAAGGTCTACGGAAAGACGGGACCAGGAAGAAGAATATCTTGGCTCCAGAACTTATAAAAGTGGTTTTCCTTGACCACCTCAGGACTATTTCGAGCTGCTGTCAGTAAAGTTAGAATTGACATGCTGAACTGCTGTAAGACCAGCTGTGATATACAGAATTGAATAGATAAAAGGAACTACAAACATATGTGATGGGAATAAAAATGCTTAAATTGGTGAGTGGAGATAAAATTACCAATAAATATATTGGGGGAAGTCCACCAATTGATGCAAAGTGAGAGAACATAGGTGAAGATGGTTTGGGCATGTTCAACATTAAGACCTTAACCACCCAATATGAAAATAACTTATTTACAAGTTACCTCTAGGAGTAGTAGGAGAGGAAGACCTGGAGGAGACGCTTAGGCAGGACATTAGTCTGTAAAAGGGGTATGAATATAAATTTATAGAGAAATGTAATTAGGGAACTCGAGCCCTCATTGGGATAGAGGAAAAGAGAATGATCTGACATATCATGTAAAGAAAGGGAATGTATCTAGTTGATAAAATAGTCAATAAAAACTACAGTTCTACATTATTATTAATATATTTTATAAAAACGTAATACACCATGTGATTATTTTTTACTATAGTATTCTCTAGTGCATAATAACTAAATAAAATTCTTGTTCATTTCATACAAGAATAGGATAAAAGCATTGACTAAATTTTTACAATGAAATTACCAGTATAATAGATTTAATATGTTTCACTCGAGTATATTGTGGATGATTCTGAAAATCCTGATTGGATTTAATGTAACAACAGATAGTAAATCTAACTAGAAGCCAATATACAGCATTTTAACAAAATATCCTCAAGAGAAATTTAAATTTTTCTATGAAATCTGACAGTTCTGATCTTTGCTTTGTGTAAGGAGTCATTGCTTATTGTCTGAGACATACTGAAGAAATATGAACTTTTAAGTCTGTAAGTTGTAGTTTTACAATCTGTTATATAAAAAATATTGCATAAGTGCAGAACAGAAAATATTAATTGAAATTTTTTTTGAGACAAAAAGTTGTCGAAATAGAAAGACTATTGGAATAAAAACTATTTTAAAGTCTTATACACTATACAACCTGTATTAAAATGAAAAATTTGTAAATATATGGAATGTAACTTGGATCAAAATCAAATGATACCAATTAGAAAGTGAAGAATAGGTAGTCTATTATATTCAGCTACTTTTTGACAATCATGTATGTATTTTATTGGCTACATTGTGCTAAAAGTGCTGTATACATACTTTGGAATATAGTAGATATATCTCATTTTGTGTTCATGTGTTGTTTATAATTACTGTTTAAAAAAGCAGGATGTTAAAAACTCCAATTAAGTCTGTGTCAATACTTAAAATGTAAAGATCCAGAAAATACAGTAAACAAAAGTACTAAAACCATATTTTTTATTCACAAAGTCCCACAGAAGTAAAAATTAAACCTCATGCTTTAATCTTTAATGCAGAGTTGTTCTTGAGTAATAGAAAATGTTAATCACTGACACACACTTATCTGGCTAATTCTTATGTACTATAATATATATATTTAATTTGCAGTTTCACAAGCATCAATCCAATCATTGTAGACATCAACTGGCTCGGACAAAAAGTTTATAGTTGTTTGGAAATCTTCTAAACAAACCCGACATGTTATCCGAGCCGTACTCCTCCCTTTATCCCTAAAATGTAACAATGCATTTTACTTAAAATATATTCTAAAAGAATAGAACAATCAATATATATATATATATAATATATATATATATATATATATATATATATATATATATACAAGCGTACTATGTACGCTTCAATAAATAGAAAAATGTTAGTATGTCTGTTACTAGTGTTAAACTTAGAATGAATAATAGATAATGTAGTTAATGAAAATCTTACATTTTAACATCACAGGATTTCTCGTGATTGCAAAATGGGCAATTAAATAGTATGTCCAAGGGTTCTATAGCTTTTCTTTTTGGTGGAGGCTTTCTTTTTGACTTGCGACGACCCATTTTTTATCTTTAGTGGAAAATGAAAAAGTTTAAAATTTGTGTTTATAAAATATTTACTTCAACAATCTGACGCTTGCTTCTCGTACTAAAAAATGTCAAACGTCACCTTGTCAATGTCATTCTTCTGTTTTTGTCTATTATAGTATGGGTGATTATCATCAAAGTATTATTATAGTATGGATGATTATCACTCAAGTGTTTTTTAAAAGGTGAGTTCACTAAGAAATATGAAGCACTACTGAGTATGACTGTATATTTAAAATACAAAATTTTCTAATGCAAGAATGACAAAAATAGTTTAAGAAAAAATTACGACGGGATAAGTGGAGAAGGAGTTTGGTTTAATAACACACTAAGATATTATGTATCTATAATAATCTCCTTTTGAGATTTTACTTTACTATCTCATAGATCTTACATACAATATAAATAAAAAGAAAAATAGGTATTTTAATTTAATAAAGGTATATTACAGGATCACCAGCTTCTTCCCTTTGTACAATTTTTTGTTTCGGGTCGTGTGAAACCATGTATTCTCGTACTGCTAGTAACGTTATACTTATTATGTATAATACTATAGGGATAATATTCAACCTAAAACAAATAAAAAAGTTATACTACTATATTATTTATCTATGGTTATACTATTGTTGTTTGTAAATTTCAAAAATTTGATAAATGATTTTATTTTTCTGTTAGCCCATGCTTTGATTAAAAATTTAAATACACGCCCAGTAAGCACAAGTACGTACATAAGACAAACTAAGTACGTACTGATGGGACATAAAGTATCTACAATGTACGTACTTTGCTGTACGAAGTACGTACTTAATACGTATATAAAACGTACATTTCCTAATGATGGTACGTACCTATTGAAGGTATGTACTTAATACATACTATATATACATATTATGTACATACTATACACAGTTATGATGATTTATGTAAATAAAAGTAAACATAGGCGAATATATTTTTATTTTTTACGATTTTTTTGCAACTCTTCTCAACCATCGTCCAATTTCTTGCTCCGCCACTTTCTTATCACTACATTTTTGACACAAAAAACACTCGACTAAATAAAATAACAGGAAACCACACTATAAGCACCAAACACCAAAAATAAGTAAAAAAATCTAAATGAAACTGTCTTGCAATGAGTTATCACATCACAACTGTACTCGAGGTGGAAAATTACTAACTAAATAAATTAGGTTAGGTTAACATAACCTAACATAATAAATATGCTTTAACTCTTCTTTCTCGTGGTACATACTTAAGACGTAAGAGTACGTACTCTTCTGTACGTACTGTTATGTACCTCAGTGTACGTACTTAAAACGTACTGTGCTGTTTGGGCGGTGTGCATTTGCAACCATACATGTCTTATATCATCGAACAGCATACGATCTACAGACATACCTATGCTGCACTTTTTTGTTTTTCTTGTCTATTGCTAAAACATATCATGTAAAATAACCTACCAGTAAGAGTATCCTAAAACTGCCGTCTTATCTGAGTTCATAGCTCCAGTTAATGTATAATAAATACCTATATCATGGTAAATGCTTATTTGGAAGAAAATTCCCCATACTGTTACTGCGATTATAACAGTGCCTAATGCAATCCCGTTATATACAAATAGTCCGTATATACTGAGATATATTTGTATAGGATTGGACACAGTATTGTACAATGATAAACCAGCTGCTAGTAAACCAAATAATATGGAAACTGATAAGAAAAATATTGTTGATATCCATACTCCGAAGTTGATAAATTTTCTGTCCTTACTGGAACCTAAAAAAAAAAGAAAAAAAATTATTCTCTGTGATTGAGAAACAATAAATAAATAATGAGAAATATTATTAATATATTTATTTATTAATATATAGAATTTGATATCAATCCGAGGTTACAGTATCTCTCAGCATTTTCAGCTCCAAAAGTGAAAACATGACTAATGCCTATAATACCGAGACCTATTAAGTCATTTATCTAATTTGTATTCTCTCCACAAGACAAAGATATTTACATGGACGTAAACAAGAATTAATTATATTGAAAATTACAATTAATTTATTTGCTAAATGCTGCTTATCTGTTTGGCTGTTATACTAACATAACATGATTGAGTACGTTAGTAGCGACCTATATAATGAAGCAACAAGAATTTGTATTGAGCCACTTCTTAACGTAATTCCCAATAAAATAAATAAAGAAGTAGGTAATCAAAACACAATGAATACACATAAAAAAGAAACTACAAGCGAGGCAAAAACTGACGAAGAGAACAAACGGAATATAGGAAAACAATATTATAACTTTAAAAGAAGCAAAAAACAAAGAGATCACTACAGTAAAATGAAGAAGATGAAAACAAAGATAAAAATGCAGTTATCATTAAAATGATGGAAAAACTTTTGAGAAAAATGAAGAAATGATGAACAAAATAAAGCAAGTGAGGAAAGAAGAAGCCGAAAACAATAAGAAATTAATATAAATGAAGCAAGAGAATCAGAACTTAAAAAAAGAAGTCAAGCAACTATAGGAAAGAATCAATCACACAGACAAATGTAGTAAGAAGAAAAACCCGATATCAGGATTAAAAGTGGAAACATTAGAGAAGGAATGAAGCATTTAATAGAGAATTACGAGCAAAAGGCTTTAAAAAATACTTACCAGAAAACTACGAGTAAAAGGATCTTATATCAGCATAAACCTGCATCGCCAGAAATCCGGATAGATACAAAATCAATGCTTAAAGAGCTCAAGAGACAGAAAACTATTTTATTTTATTTATTAAACTTCTGTAGCTATCCACTTTAAGTGAGAAATAAGCAGGGACATCTGCTGGCTGTTCTGAGTGTGAATTTGTAGGGGAAGTTTGCCTATGTTGGCCCCTGCCTATGATGGACCCCCTGCTGTAATCTCAAATATGGCGCTGTTACTTGCACATCACCGGTTACCACTTGCACACGAAGTTTGTAGTTTGTAGAAATGTGGCGTTGCTGAGCTAATAAAACTTTTTGGTAAGTAATATTTTATTGATTAGTTGCTTGTTGCATGTTGCTTTTGTTTTGTATACAATGACTACACTTTCTTTGTCAAATACTGTACTTTGTTTTAGATTAAAATGGTCATAACAACCTACGAGGTTTAAGCTGGCAGCAAAACCATTTAACGTTTCAAAAAAGACTTTGGAAAGGCGCTTTAATAAGTAACAAGGAAGTACCAAAGGTGATTTGGGAAGACGAAGACCAATATTTTTCACTGCTATTGAAAAGGAAATTGCTGACCATATTATCACCATGGAAGCTCGTTTTTTTGGCTTGACCAGTAAAGGTTTACGAAAACTTGTATACGAAGTAGCTGAAAGAAACAATATTAGCCACAGGGCTCAAGCTTTTAATAAATCAAATATATGTGCCTATTTTTACAGTATTAGCACATGTACTAGACGAGTTTTAATTTTCACCAGAAAACATTTATAACATGGACGAGTCCGGTTTGACAACTGTGCAAAAGATTTATGCTAGTAAAGATGCATCTACTGGAAGTGTAGCCTTTGCTCAAGAAAAAGAGTGGATGACTTCCAACATTTTCTGTCTCTGGCTGCATATTTTTTAAGATATTCAAAAGCTTCTAAAACCAACCAAGTTTTGTTGTTACTCGATGGTCATGGTAGTCAAAAAAGTTTTGAAGCTCTCCAGTTTGCAAAAGAAAACGTAATTGTTATATTTTGTTTTCCTGCTCACTGCTCTCATCACGTTAAACTTTTGAACATAGGATCTTTTAGACCACTTTAAACTTACTACGGCCAAGAAATTCAATTATGGCTGCGACCGAATCCAGGTAAAACAGTTACCCAATTTAAGGTAGCCAGTGTCTTTAATAGAGCATATTGAAAAAGTGTTCCTCCATCAAATGCAATAAATGCATTTAAAAAGACAGGAATAGAACCGTTCGATCAAGAACAACAGATAAGGAAAATTATGAATAAAACTTTATTTACTTATTTTATACAAAATACAACGGGTCCATCATGGGCGTATCAAAGGGTCCATGAGTGCATATATGCCCATGATGGACCCTTAACAGGATATTAGTAAATTATGAAGAACTTTTGTCATCCTAATTTTTATCAAAATTTGAAACATTTGCATATTATACAAATAACAAGACGTTACGTGGTCATATTTAATGCCTGCTAAGTAAATAATTAAAATTATTATGAAGCTATTTTCTTAAGGGGACCATCATAGGCACATTTCCCCTATAGCAACTGAACCGTGGTGTAGTTTGACTGATTCCCTAACAAAACAGTTAGAATAACAGTAACAGCAACTAAAGATTGTTAAAACATTAAGTTTTCGTACGAAAAACAATTTAAGCAAAAAAAAATTAGCTAAAAAACATTTAAAAACTTACTTGCTTCTATAGATCTCAATACTGAAAATTCATTATGTAATTTGGTACTACTTGAAACGCTCGGACATTCATTGTCGTTCTGTGGATGGTCTCCGTTATTATCGTAAAGGTCCTGTAAAATTTGAGCTCTCCCTTCGCTGTTCTTTGCGCATAACATAGCACAAATGTTATCTTTTGCCAAACATGTCACTGAAATAAATACAGTATAGATAATAATACTAGTTTTAGTCCTAAGACAATTATATCTAAATTATTGTTAAGTGAATGGATGACCTAGAAATTAATGTAAGTACTAGTGGAACTGCTCGAATGTATACCGAAAAAGAAAAATTAAACTACAGTAGAACCCCTCTAATCCGTCACCCTCGGGACTAGCAGTATGGTCGGAACGCAAGAAAGGTCGGATTATCAGAAAAAGTCATTGTGTATGACGTATGGATGTGTTTTTAAAAAATGACTGTATTATTCTCTACAGTGATATAATAAATAATTATATTTCAATAAAATACAAGAAAGCTTTTGTTTGTACATTATTTATTAAATATGTATGTAAATATATAATGTCAAAAAAGGTAGCTTAAAAATTAGTGCTTACCTATGTAGGCCTACTTAGTAAAAAAATCAGTAATAGATTTTTGTTTACAAGATGAAATTCTGGATTTAGCTGCAATGTTCCTCCATTTTTTCATCCACACGATGTCCATCGGTGTTGATGCTGAGTTCTGCTCAATGTACTGAAGGCCAATTTCAAAAGCATTCTTGGCATCGGTGTGTGAAATCCGGACAGGAGGCTCGTCATCATCATCACTGTCGGATTCTGAGTTCACGATTCCGTCACCGTCACGTTCCATAACAGCGGCAACAATTTCGTTATCGTTAATCACTTCACTGGTTTCGCAGTTTTTGTCACATTGTTCAATCCACTCCTCAACTTCCTAGCAGGTATATTTGCATCCAGGGTCTGAAGATTGGTAACGATTTCCTGCACGTCGTTTTGCTCATCTTCGACCTGGTCAATTTCGATCATAACTTCTGGCCAAAGCTTACGCCAAGATTTTCTTAGCGTGTCAGGATTTAGTTCTGGCCAAGACTCAGCCATTGTATAGATAGCATCTTTAATGTTGAGTGATTTCATGGCTTGGAAAATATCACATCATTCTTCAGATTTTTCTAAAATCGAGCTTATGTATTTTCGGCGATAACGCCTTTTAAAACATTCTATCACGCCCTGGTCCATAGGCTGGATAAGTGATGTGACATTTGGTGGGAGGAAGATAACTTTTATATCCCCTTTTACTAAATCTTCCTCAGAAGGGTCCGATGGTGCGTTGTCTAATAGCAGTAGAGCTCGAACAGGAAGATTTTTTTTCTTCAAGTCCTTCTCAACACATGGCACAAACTCGTCAAAAAACCAAGATTTGAAAAGATTGCAGTCCATCCAAGCAGATTTTTGGTTGCGATAATAAACCGGCACGGATGATAAGTTTATGTTTTTGAAAGCCCTGGGCTTCTTAGATTTGCCTATGACTAACAGCGAAAGCTTGTGTGTTCCATCAGCATTGCTACAAGGAGCAACAGTTAGCCTATCTTTCATGAGTTTCGTTTCCGCTACGGTTTCATTTGACGCACTTAAGGTTTTGTTTGGAAGCATTTTATAGTTTAGGCCTGTCTCGTCTATGTTATAGACTTGGCAAGGTAACAGTTCATTTTCTTTTACAATTTGTTGAAACTTCACAGAAAACTCCTTAGCCGCCTCGACGTCAGCAGATAATTTTTCACCACAAATTGAGACAAACCGGATACCATGACGGGTTTTCCAACGATCAATCCAGCCTTCACTGGCTTTAAATTCACTTCCGACTTCTAGTTTTTTGTGAAAAATTATTGCCTTTTCTTTTATAATTGGGCCAGATATCGGAGTTCCCTTCCTTCTTTCTTGACTGAACCACATCCATAGAGCACTATCAAGCAGTTCAAGTTTAGGCTTTTTTAATGTTTTTCGCTTTTTAAGAGCGTTTTCTCCATCTACTATCGTCATTGTATGTGAGTCAATTTTTTTTCGAAATTTTCTCCAATCCTTAATAGTCGTAACGCCTACATTCAGTTCCTTGGCAATTTTTTGTAGTGATTCAGACAGAATGGATTGTGATTTTCGGAGAAATTTTCGTCGTAAACAAATCGACCGCCGGGGATTTCCGCGAAGCCAAGCAGGTCGGATTACCCGGAGCGTCGGACTATCCGAGGGCGGACGAGAGGGGTTCTACTGTATACCGAAAATCAAATGTATACCGAAAAAGAAAAATTAAAGGAATACAGCGACCAAAAAACAATCAACCTCATGTCTCACTCTCTGAAAATTCTCTTTAAAATAATTCATAACAGGCTATACCTACGCGAAATTGAAAGACGATCAGTTATATACAATTTGGCTTTTGTAGTGGTGTTGTTTATATATAATCTTTATTTGTACTCAACATACTTAAGGTACGAAAGATGTTTGGATCAAAACTTAAAATCAAAACCTTTATGTTTAGCTTTATAAATCTAAACAAAGCTTTTACGGACGGACAGGGTCAGAAATGAGGAAGTACTCAGAAGAGCGGGCTTACAGGATAGGGAACTTTTTAGTTTTGTAAAAATTAAGAAGACTGCATACTTGGGGCACATATTACGAGGAGAAAGATACACTTTTCAGCAACTGATACTCGAAGGAAAGATAGAGGGTATGAGAAGTCTGGGACGTAAAAAAATGTCATGGCTGTGCAATATTCGACAATGGACAGGAATCCACAGCCATGAAATGCTTCGCAATGCTGTTAAAAACAGAAATATTTAATCCTGAATATTTAACATCTCACCTGATAAAAGGATTTACGGTGGACGCCTACGCAGAAATGCACGGCACCTTAAGAAGAAGAAGAAAGCTTTTAATAAAGTTCTAGTCGATTATTTCATAGAAATCCTTATAAATAAAAAGTTTGACCACCAAGGTAAAAGATCAATATTAATTTTATTCTATAATCAAGAAGCGAAATAAAAAATTTAAAATAAAACATCCAAGGAAGTTGAAATAAAAAGCGGAGTAACTCAAGGACGTATATTATTATACCTAGTTTTTAATGTATACTCGAAAGAAATTATAAAAACAGCTTTAAAAAGTTAAACAACTGACATAAAAGTCAACGATGTTTGTTCAGAAATATTTGTTACACAAAAGGATACCGATCCTAAAAGCTACAGATCAATATCTCTGCTTTACCACTTGTACAAAATCATAAAAGGAATCATCCTTGACCGGATCATTAACACCGTGGAACCCCTTCTAATCCCACAACAAGAAAATTTTAGACCGTTGACTGGATAAATCTGTTCAGGTCAGGCTCTTCATCTTACACAGAATATCGAAGACGGCTTTGAAACGAAAATGATAACAGGTGTCGCCTTTTAGACTTGACAATTGCATATGACTCTGTTAATTATCAACTCATAAAGAAAATAATACCATCACAAAAGACTTCTTCCTTAAACAGATAATATCGACTTTTCTTTAGAAACTCATGTATTTATTGTATTTTCAGGATCAAGGCAGCCGTTGGCGAATTCAAAAAGTGTTTGCTAAAGGGGAGTGCTAACCGATACATTAGCTGACTTTGGAACATATAAACATAATAAACTAAAACCAAACCCTAATAAAGTGCAGGTAAATGTCTTTTATCTAAAAAATTTGCACGCTTCGAGGAGCCATGTAGATAATCTGGAGAGACAACTGAATTACTGCATTATCTAAACTGGTCTGCAACATTAAAGAAGCACTGTCAAAACACCAAAATAAAAGTAGCTTCAAGAAACAACATTATAAGGCAGTTAATTGGAATTTCCTGAGGGTAGACCCAAAAAACCTTAAGGACAGCAACACTGGCTCTGTGCTGCTCTGCTGGAGAATAAACTTGTCCCAGGTGGATACGTGCCTAAAAGAAACATGCAGGATCCCTAGGAGACATATGAAGGGATGTGGCTGCAACCAGGAGAGACAGGCTTCTATAAACGAGAGCCACCCATTGAACAATTATGTCTCCATCTAACGAAGACTGCGATCACGCAAGAGTTTTCTGGCAATATCCACTATACCAACAGAGAGTATCAACGCTAAGAAAGAGAAATCAATGTATCTCTTAAACTGAATGAACCCATCGAAAAGTCTCGTGGCCACAATACTGCCTGTACCACCTGGAAGACTCTAATTAATAGACTGAAACGCAAGTAACAAGATGCAGAGCAAATCTCCAAAAATGGGGATTCCTGACAGCAACGATTCGTTGTAAATGCACAGAAAAACAGGGGATCTCTCACCTGTATCAATGCAATCTGTCTCCTTGGACGTGCACGATGGAGGACTTTATAACAGCCGAATCCAATGCGACAGAAGCAGTTGATTTTTGGTCAAAATAGTAATTGTTTGTTAGAATGATCTAAGACTGTATTTGTTTTATTGTATTTTATATTGCTTTTGCGTAGTAGTCTGAAAATTTTGTTCTGTAATTTTTCTGAGAATGTAAATTTTGGGACTTCAAAAAAGATGCATAGAAGTTTCCTATCCCCGGGTTTTTTCCTTAAACTACCCCTTGTAGCGGGAAAAATGGAAAATATCGATTTACTTAGAATCTGTGCGCCCAGAAAAAAATGTTTCAAACAAGAAATGTAGCTGGAGATAATTTTGAATGAAAATAATGTTTATTAACACTTTTGTGTAGAATGGACCGTTCTCACAGAAACAACGATTGTAGCTACCGGCGATTTTGAATGTACATAAGCTACGCGCACGAGTTCAATTTTTTAAATAAAATTTGTATCAATTCGGCGATAATAATTTAGTATATTTTGATCAGGGTTTTTCTCCACAACAATCGGTTTTTCCGTTTTTTTGTCCCTGTTAAAACCGGTTTTTTCTTTTTAAAGCGATAGCTGGTGAAAACCGGAGAACCGATCCTCAAGAAAATAACAGTCTTGAGTGAAGGATATTGGGATTTGAAAATTTCGGGAAAGTAATACGGGGTATTATATCTGCCGAACCCTAAAGGGGCTCTTCAAAGAATTCGGCATCCCTATGTCTAGAGTTGTTGGTGCCTACACAGATGGTGGAGCGAACATGGTAGTTGCAGTGTGCAAGTTGCTCAGAGAGGACAAAAACC